GGGGAAGGGGGAGGGATGGGGGTGTGGTATGTGTGTGTGTAGGGGGCTGGTGAGCCAGCCCCAGCTAATGGCTGGGGCCAGCTTTTCCAAGGTGCGCATTTGGATTTGAAGGTGCCCCCCCTTTTCCTACCTCCTGACAGAGATACCTGAGCCAGCAGGTCAACTCAGGTTACCTCAACAGGTATAAGACCCCTGAGGTTGGATACCCGCGAAGGAGAGTTGGTCTCCTAACCTAAAAGGCAGACTCCCCAGGGGGTCCTCAAGTCTGGGGACTTTGAGAAGCCCTCACCTCCCCACTGCTCGGAGCTTCAGAACTGGCCTCAGCCCTCTTGGTCTCTTGCCCCCGCCGCCCCCCCCCCAGGTGGGAGACTGCCTCAGCTTCCCTCCATCTGTAAGATCCCCCTGGCTGCCAGAACAGAGCAAGAGAGAAAAGAGGGCAGAAGTGGGGTCTGCACAGCCTAGCCAAGGCCACACTGCCCGGCCAGACACCAGCCCTGCCCGAGGCTGGTGCCAGGAAATGGCCAGCACCAGCCTGGCTGGGGGTTCTCAGCAAAGCTGCTGCTTGGGCTAGGGGCTGAGAGGGCCTTCAGGCGGCCCTGCCCTGGGATGCTCCTTCACAGGGGCTTCTTATATTTGGGGTGGAGGGGAGGTCAGCAGGCCCTCTGACTGTCCCCACATACCCCATAGGAAATGCCAGCTTTGCCTGAAGGGGGCCCCTGGCTTCAGCACACACCCCCATCCCCAGGCAGGCTGCCCAGGCCAGGATGTGGATGGGAACTGTCAACAGACACTCTTTAAATATTTACCCACACTTTCTCTGGGGGGTGGCCACCCCCGTCCCCAGCCCAGGCGGGGGTAAATGCAAGTTAATTCTGATGGCGAAAAGCAGCTTAGTGCACCCTTCTCTAGCCAAAAGTGTTATCTGGGCTGCACAGACAGAGGGCTGAGAGAAAGTCAGGGCGCTGTGGCTCAGTGTGCACATGGATAAGAAGAGGAATAAGAATGATTCTCCTGGCCCCGCCTGGGGGAGTGTGGGTCTGTCACACACAGGGTAACGCTGGGGCACACCTGGGACACACACAGACTTTCTCCCCTGAAGCATATCATATGCTCATGAAACTACCAGGCATATCTGGGGCCCCCCAACCCCGTCACCCCAGACACTGCACAAACGTGCACATAAACATAATACCTGCAGCTCTCCACATCATGGGGAAATGCTGCCCATTTCCCTGCCACATCCTGGAGCTGCAGGGCGGGGGGGAAGGAGGTGGTCAGAAAATCAGACCTTCTTCTTCCCCAGCCGGAACCAGCTCTGGGGATGGAGAAGGGAATGGCAGGAGAGCAGGATGACCCCCCACACACCCACCAGAGTCCCTCTACTCGCTGAGTAATTGCTGGGGAAATGGCCACTCTCAGCCAAATTCAAGAAGAGTCAGTGGTGCCCCAGCTGAGAAGCTTCCGGGAGCCCCTGCATTTGGAGAAGCTTATCCCCCCATCTGTCTTAGGGGCCGCCCAAACTGCAGTGCTGCAGAACTCAGCCCCTAGAGCTGCGGAAGGGGTGGGGGCTGCAGGCCTGGAGGCGGGGGCCTGACAGGGGGCCTGGACGGAGCCTGGTCCAGTTTGGGTTCCAGCCCGGCCTTCTCCGCTGAGTCTGCTCTGCGGGAACGGAGCTGAGGGAGGTGGCCCCGGCTCCAGCGTGGGTCACTGGGGACTGCCATAAATACTTTCCCTTCTCCAGCCTGGAAAGAGGAGGCTTGGCGGGCCTATCCTCTCTGGGGCCTGCGCCTTATCTTTTAAGGGGTGGGGGGATATCTCGACATTTTATGGTCCAGCGAAAACCCTGTCACAGAGCTATTCTTCAGGCCTTTGTGTCTCGGAATGTGACTGTCCCGAGTGCGCCCGCCAGCACGGGCTCGAGCGCCGAGAAGTCCCGGAACCCCCTGGCTGGACTTGATTTACCCTTTTAGGGATCCCTCGCCTTTGCTTTAGCGCATTTGTTTTTTGGGTTTTTTGTTTATTTGTTTTTCTTTTACACATATCTGCTTGATTTTGCTCCTGGAGCCTGGAAATAAAGGAACAGCAAGCAGCCACCCTCCCCGAGGCCTGCACCGCCCTCCTAGGTACCACGGATTTATGTTGGTTTGTCGGGGTCATTCTGCCTTTTTGTGTTAATTACACGCTGCCTGGTCCGGGGCTTATCTCCTCCACGAAGAGATTATTTTCCACACTCGCCCTCCAGAGTCGCCCGAGCCTGCTGCCAGCGCGAGGGCCCATCTCCCGCCCGCCACTCGCGATTTATTTACACCTCGCAGGTGAGAGGATTGATTTGCTCAGTCAGCGGGGCCGGGCCGGGCCGGGGCGCGGGCCTTCTGGCTGCGGCTCAGGACCGGCCTCAAATGTCAGCGCGGCCAGGCCGGCCGGGGGCACGGCCGCCTCTAACATTGAACAACAGCGCCACCTCGCGTCCACTTGCTCCAGTGCAGCCGGGCCCGGGTGAAAACCGCCGCGAGGACCGAGCCGGTCCCGGGCCGGCCCAAAGAGTTTCCGAACCGGTGCGCGCGCGAGCCCCCCTCCCCAGGGCGTTCCGCAGACGCGAGGGCCCCGTGCTTCTGGTTTCTACGTTCTCGAAATAAGCTCCGTCAGCGATCTCACGCTCTCTTCTCTTTCTGTCACCCTCCCTCCCTCCCTCCCCTCATTAAGAAACACTGCAAAGCGACGCGCGAACCAGCACCTCAGTCCCATTCAGACGCGTTTCTGGGCTCCGAACACCTCCGCCCGAGCAGATGCACGCCCCAAGCTCCACCACCTGCTGCCCGAGGCTCGCCCCCGCCGTTCCTGCTCCTCTTACCCCGCTGCTGGCTCCGCGCGCCCATCCGCGCCGCCTCCAAACTTTGGGGTGGGACTGTCCTCCGCCGGCGCGAGCCCGGCCAGTCACCCCGCTCTCACGCGCGATCTAACCCCCTCTCCCTCCCAGCCAGTGAGGTCCTGTGCTCCGTGGGCCATAGACAAAACATTCCTATAATCCGATTTCAAAGGAAAGACTGTCCACCTTATTTAAACCATAAAACAATTAAACCCAGACGTCTAGCCAGCCCCGCGATGCTGTTTTGTTCGGCCCCATTCAGAGTCCAGCGCGGGGAGACAAACAGCACCATAAAAGTGGCATTTCGGGGCTGCGGAAATGTACCTATCCGCGGCCTGCCCGAGTGGGACAACCTTTAGGGTTTTGTGATTCTGACAAAGGAGCAGAGGAGTCGTGGGAGGGGGAGAGGAGGGCAGGAGGGGCTTGGGTCCGGTCCCTGGCCCCCGGCTCTGGGCTCTTTCTCCAGATATGTGCTGTTTTACTTCACAGTTATAATAAAGAAAACCCCGAATCCCATCCTGATCAGCAGGCCGGAAGCTGACGGGCACTGCACAGCGGGCTCGGCCTGGCGGGCCTGGTCTGGGTTGCTGGCCCCGGCCAGGGCCCTCTGAGCCTGCGGCCTCCTTCCTGCCCGGGGAGGAAGGCCAGCTCTGCCCGCCGCAGGAAGCAGGCCGCGCTGACAGGCGGCTGAGGGGAGGCCACAGGGCCCAGGAGCAGGGCGGGGGTGGAAGCCCGGAAACGCTGGTGGACTCGGGCTGGGAGAGAAGCCTCAGAAAGCAGCGCGGTCAGTCAGGACCGAGGGCCAGGGTGCCTGGCCTCTGCTGGCCGCCGAGCCAAGACCAGGGTCCCAGAACCGCAAAACCACCAAAGAAAAGTCTAGGCAGAGCAGCTTTCGAAAGCAAACAATTGCTTTTGGTGGGGAGGAGGCTTTCTGAAGCCGGAAAGTGGAAGGGGGTTTCTGCAACCCGGACCTCGCTGGCTGTGACTTTTGATTGTCCACCTCAAAATATTATCAAAACAAAACGCCCACCTCGCCCCCCTTCCTACTTTCCAAAACTGGTGTGTTTGATGGAAAGGGGAGGAGAGTCCAGGGATGGCGCAGAGGCTGGTCCCTGCAAGTGGCCACTCCTGCAAGGTGATGCCAGGGGGAGCTGCATGTGGACCGGGGACCCCCATTATTTTCTTTTACGGTGGTGTCCCCCAAGTATTCAGAGCAACCCCCTGCACCCTTGCCAGAATGGGCAGTCTGAGATATTAAAGGGCTATATTTCAAGCAGCCTGAGTTTAATAGTTTCCAGATTGGGGGATTTCCGAGAAAGGGGGCACCGGGCTGAGGCAAACCCCGCAGCTTGGGTCTGCTTCTGATTAGCAGATGAAAACTGCTGGGTCTGGGCAAGGCACTCTGGGGTGCAGAGCAGCTGACCAGCCCACCAGGCGTTACACGCCCATCCCACACCCTTGCACTGGGGCCTCCACACCAGCACTCAGGCCACTGAGACCTAATCCCTGACCCTCCTTTGGGTCCTCATCATGCCAACCCCCAGAGACACCACAACTGCCCAGCACAGCCTCCTCACCCCCAGATCAGTAGGCAAGCTCAAAGATAATGGGGGACTGAAAGATAATGGGGGACTGAGAAGAAAAGAGGGAGAGAGTGGCTGAGAATGCACTGACAAGTAGCAACTCAGTCCAGGTCTGGCTCTATGAGCTTTGCCACCTCCCTCTGCCCTCCCTCCCTCCCTCCCTCCCTCCCTCCCTCCTTCCGTTCTTCCCTCCTTCCTCCCTCTGCATCTGCCTTCTTTGGCTCTCCACACCATGCCCCAGTGCCTAGCCTCCTCCTCTGGGCCTGCTCAGCCTTCCTCCTCAGCGCTCACCCACAGCAGCCCTCCCCCCCACCCCCAGCCATCCCTCGAAGCACTGGTGCAGCCAGGCAAGAATCCAGCCCGGGCCCTCACCCAGCACCCAACTTTCATCTTCACCTATCTCTTCCCTCCGATCTCATGTACTCGTAAATTATTACAATTAATTACAGCCAGGGAAAACCATTCATGCCCTGCTCCTACCCTAGACTCCACGGAGCTACCAAGAAACTCGCAGCCAGCGGGGAGAGGCATAAGCTGGGCCCGGCGCCCTCACCCCCACCCGTCCCGCCTGGACAGGCCGGGCAGGCACTTGCCCTCCGAGACAGAGGGGTCCCTTCTGCGCCTCCAGCCTCCCCCAAAGGGCCTGAGCACTTGCCTCCTCCATGACAGCAGCCTGGGAACCACGGGGAGGAGAAATAACGAGAACTGGATGCAGTTGGGTTTCTGGTTTTTTAAGTGACTTCGATATATTAACACAGAGCTGTTCTACCATAACAAACAGAAGCACGTTACAGACCGACGCTGGGGACGAGAGGAGACACCGCTATGTACACCGAGGCCTGGCCGCGGACCTGGCTCCTCAGCTCCTGGGCTGGGGTCGTTATGGTGTATGTGTGTGTGTCTTTTTTTGTACAAAATCTGCAGGCAGAGCACCCCAGGCCTGGGGAGGGACAGCCCGGATCAAACACAATACAGGAAAAAAATAGAGATATAGCGATTCAAGTACTGGCTTCTCTGAAGAAAGGAGAAAAAAATCACATTTGTGTGTCATTTATTTCAGTTGCGCGGGGAGAAGAGAACACGGTTTCTCTCCCCTCCTCCTCCTCCTCCTCTTCCTCCTCCTTCTCCTCCTTGCGCTGGGTAGAACTAACTCTAAAACACCAATTTCTCAACACTGAACCCTCCCAAATTGCAAGAGTTTTCCTTTTCCCCTTCCTTTCTTTTTCTTTTTAAGCAGATGGGCTTTTCTCTATCTTGCTCTTTCCTTTTCTTTTTCTTGCTTTCTCCCGCCTGGGTGGGGGTATTTTGTGGGGTTTCTGTTTTTCCCTTGACTGTGCCGTGCAGCAGGGCGGGCAGGTTTAGGATTGCTCCTTGTCGGTTTTCTCTTTATTCATCTTTTTCATCTTCATCCTCCGATTCTGAAACCAGATTTTGACCTGCCGCTCGGTGAGGTTGAGAACCCGGGCCACCTCGTACCGACGGTCCCTGGTTAAATACATATTGAAGAGAAACTCCTTCTCCAGTTCCAGCGTCTGGTACTTGGTGTAGGGACAGCGCTTCTTCCTCGTGGACCGGGCGTGGATCCAGTTTGCCACGGGGTTGCCTGGAGGGCCAAACCAAGGCAGGGGTCAGTGAAGCCCCTGTGCAGCCCAGGGCCCCTGCCGCCCCCACCCCAGCCTCAGCCAGGCTTCCCAAACCCAATAATTGAACCTGAATTTGGACACATTTTGCAGGAGGAACCCCCCCCCACTCCTCCTCATTTGCCCCTCCCCACCTCCCCTCTCCTGGGTTCCCAGCACCTAAAACTATAGAAGCCAAAGCTATCAAAGCCCCTACAGTCTGGTCCTCAGCTTCAAGAGTAGTAATTCGAGAATATCCTCATAAAAAGTCCAAATTCCCAACCGTTTCATAGGCCCATAAACGCTTTCTCTCTTGTTTTTTATTTTTATAGTGAGGTCTCTCTCCTCCCCACTTCCCTCCTCCTCTGCCCCCTCCCACCCTCCCAGCCCACGACCAAGTCCTGAGATTTCAGCAGTTCTGCTTCCTGACCCTGAGAATCCCCAGCACTCACCACGCTCCAGCACCGTAGTCTCCGCTCTCAGCTCAACCCTGCTGAGGCGAATTCTCTGGGTGATGCTGGGATGGGAAAGGGCTTTCTCGGCCCTCCCCCCCAAGGCTGCTAGCCTGGGGAACAGGCTCCCCTGTATCTCGGCTGCCCTGTTTGGCTCCAGTGCCCCCTCCTGCCAGCCCCAGGACAGGCTCTGCAGGAGACAAGCCTCCAATTTCAGGTTTATGGGAGTAGCTGAGGGCAAGGAGGAAGCCTTCAGAGGGGTGTAATTAGGCCCTGGTCCCCTTATAGGGCTGGAGGAAAGGATTTCCTGCAGCCCCCTCCTGAGACTCCCCCAAAACACTTCCTCACACCCAGGGGGCTGGACCCCCTCTCCTGCAGTTTCCCCTCCTTTCCCCTTTCTCGGGCCCTGCTGCTCCCACCTGCCCCCCTTCTTTGCAATACTCAGAAGGTTCCTGTCTCCCTGACTGGAGTGTGTGTGTGTGTAAGTCTCTGTCCTACAGATCCACCTCATCCCCACTTCTCAACCGGGACCCCCATTCTCAACCCTCTCTCCTGCAGACCCTCAGAAAGAGGGTTCTCAAGTTGAAGGAGACTAGGAGACTGGGACCCCACTTTTCTCCCCCAACTCTGGAAGTCCTGATGTCTCCAACTTCCCAGCCTGTGAGATCCTCAGACCTCTTCACCCAGTGCTCCTGAGGGAGAAGTCCCTGGTCTTTTTTTTTTTAAACTCTACTGGGGTGTGGGTCCCCATGCAGGCTGGGGACTGAGGGTGACTTCTCTCCCTGGGGTATTTTCCCTCTGTCCCCAGCGTCTCCTCCTCTCTCTCCCACCTCACCTCTCACCATAGACTGAACCTCGCCCCCCGCCCGCCCCATCCCCTGGCCCTGTGAGCAATTCTTGGAAAGTAGCGACTGAGCCAAAAAGCCTGGGCTGGGGGGCGGGGGGCGGGGGTCGCCCCTGGAAGCCAGCTCCTGGGAGCGCAGCCCCCCGCAGCCCTTCCCTACCCCACGTCCCGGGCCCCCTTCTCAGACCCTGCTGCCCCTGGAAGCTCCCAAGGTAATTCGCTTTTATTGAGTCCTGACTCCTTCGCCCTCGCCCCTCTCCCGCGTTCCTGGGCCGCTCGAGGGGCTGTAATCTGGCTCCCCCCGCCCGTCCTCCCCTCCCCTCCCGCGCGGGTTGTAAAGGAAAATTGCTGCCAACTTACTGGGGTCCAGGTCGGCCTTCTCCTCTTTGTGCTTGCTGCCGGCGAGCGCGTCCGCCTCGGGCGAGGGCAGTGTCTGCGGGGCGCGGTCGCGCAGCTCCCCGGGCGAGCCGTACATGTAGTCCGGGTAGCTGCGGCCGTCGCCCGGGCCGCAGTCGGAGCGGCGCCCCGGGTAGGCGTCCGGCTTGAGGGCGTAGTGACGGCCCCCGGCCGGGAAGCTGGGGAAGGAGACGGCGCCGGACAGCGGCTCGAGCCAAGTCCGCATGTAGCGCGTGTCGGCGCCGAGGTGGGGCTGGGGGCCGTAGGGGTGGTACACCACGGACGACTGCGAGGGCACGGGCGCCCACGACGTGCTGAACACGGCCGGCTTGGGCGCGAAGCTACAGGACGGAAAATCGCTACAGTCCGGCACCAGCCCGCTGGGTCTGGCGGCGGCGGGGTGAGCCCCCGTGGCCGGAAACCTGGACGCTAGGAGGTCTTCATTGTCGTGCGAGATGAGCGAGTCCACGTAATAGTTACTGATGGGCCCCGTCGCCGACATCGTAACGGGGTTTTACATACATAAGATTATTGTATGAACTGTATATGTACTTTTTATCTGCTCACAGAACAATCAAGGCAGGTAATTATTTTTCCAGCCTTTTCCCCGCCGCTCATTGGCTCCCCGGCCCCCACGTGATCGTATTTACCCAAAAATACGGCGCGGATCAATGCGCAGGGGCTTTTTTCCCTGGCTTTTCCCCCCTCTTCTCCCACCCCCTGCTCTCCGCTGAGCCCCGCGACAGGCGTTTTCCTGGGGGTCCGCCACTCCTGACCCAAGGTACCGGTCACCCCCTGAGAACAACTCGTGTCTCACCAGAGAATCCTCTGGCCCGGGTCCCCCACCCCCCCCACCCCTTAGCAGATGGCCTCGCGCCCTCCCCCACCCCCCACCCCCGAGGATTTCCTCCTGGGGTGAAAATGCCAGTCCCAAAGCCAGGGTTCCCGGACCCCCAAGGCCAGCTGGGCGAGGGCGCCTCGCGGGGGCGGAGAGGCTGGCGAGGTAGGTGGAGGAACTATTTCTTGACGTAATCCGTCTCTGTCGCCCCGACGCTCCCGCAGTCTGAGCGAGCGAGCCGAGACCGGCGATTGTCAGTTCGGAACGTGGCTTTTAAAAATGCGTTTTTAAATAGTGTGTATGTATGTATTTCTTTCCCGAGCGGCGGCAGCAGCAGCAGCGAGGGAGGGAGGGAGGGTGGGAGGGGACTGGGGAAGCTGGGGTGGAGGGAGGGCAGGAGGGAAAGGGGAGCATCCTCCTGCCACAGGCCAACTCAGCCCCCCAAATCTGGAGCCAGGGGAGGCTTGGGGAAGGGGGTCGGCTGGTGGGAGGGGTAGCACCTCCAGAGACCTCCCGCACCTTCGTCATTAGAAGTTCTGTCTTTGCCCTGCCACAGATATGCAAGCGCCTGCTTTTAAATTTATTGTCTATATCTATTTATCTTTCTTTGCCAGCTTGAAGAAGTGGAGGAGAGATCTACCCAACTTAAGTGGGGCGTCCCCAGCCCATCTTCCTGCTCACCTTCCTTTGCCCCAACTCCATCTCTGCGACACACTGCCCCCCCCAAAAAGAAGTCATTCTCTAGGCTCTGTCTGCAGAGAGCCAGGGTGAGAGCGGGTAAGGAGAGAGAGCGACCTCGGTCGTGGGCAAGTAGCTTGTTTTTACGTCCTTCAATAAAATTTTTATGAGGATCATTTGATTGTTCATAAATGTGTCTTTCATTAAATAAAATTGTAGGCTGTTTTTGGAACGGGAAAAAGGCGGCGGAAGGGTGGCAGAAAGCAATTTCTTTGGGGTCGGATGCAGGAATTCCAAAGGGGGCAGTGTGATTGTCAGGAAAATCAGACAAATTGGGTTTCTCCCCCCCCCACCCATAAGTTGGTTGCTCCCCTCTTCCCTGATTTTGGGGGTCTGTGGCCCAGCCCTCTGCTTCCCATCAGACTGTCCCATGGAGGTTTGGTGAAGGTGGGTCTTAGGCAAGCAGGACGTTCAGTGTAGGTGCAAGAGGAGGCAGGGAGATGGGCCGGAGGGGGGTGGTGACGGGCAGGTGTCATCCCCAGAGACGTGATTCACCTTGGCACGGCACAGTGAGTTTGAAAGAAGGGTGCAGTTTCAGGGTCAGGAGGGGAGCGTCCCAGTTGGAGCTGGAGAAGCAGGCAGGAGTGAGGCTGAGATGCAGACTGGGAGGCAGCAGGGAAGGACCAGGTTTCCCAGACCCTAGACGCCTGTCCTTTCCCACTCCTGTCCCCAGTAGGAGACCAAACCTGGGAGGGGGGAGTGAAGCCCGGTTCCTCCTGTGTCTCTGTTGACCTGTCTCCTCTGCAGTGGAGAAGGGCGAGAAGAGGTGTCCCACAGAGTGTGTTGGCGGGAGGAGAAGTTGAGGGAGGCAGAGCTGACCAGGAGCCCAGAGAGCAGACTGCAGCTTGCCTGCCCCCTCCCCAGCCCCGCTGCTCCCCCTCTCGGCTCTTCCCTTTTCGGTCCAGCGGGGCTGGGATTTCATGCACTGGGTAGATAGGAGAAGTGTCTGCCCAGGGAGAGGGGAAGAGGCACCCCGGGCCTCCTATCCCTGGCTGCGATTGTCTTCCCCTCCCCCGGACCCAACTAGTCTGAGAAATCCAAATTACAAGAAACAGAATATCTCTTTGGCCTTGATGGAGTCAGGTTAGCTGTCAATCAAAAATTCTCCCTCACTAGTTCAAGGAAAAGACAGGAGGCTCCTGCCCCCCTGCAGAGGCTTTTTCCAGCCACCCCCCAGTGCGGCCAGCACCTCCCCCAGCCCAGGCCGCTGGGGACCCTGCGGGCTCTCTCCAGGCTGCTAGCAGCGAGGCAAAGACCCTGTAGCCCTCAGCGGGGCCGGAGACCAAGAGGACACACCAGGGGACAGAGCAAGAGAATCTGAGCCCGAGACAGCCTGGGACAGAAAGCCTGAAACACAGCACAGGCCCACAGACAGGCAGGAAGGAGGGGAAGGAAAGAAGAAAACGGAGGACTGAGATAAAAAGATAAAGGGGAGGAGAATTAAAGACCGGAGGGGAGGCAAGATGAAAGGAGCGCGGAAGGATGCAGGGACGGAGGCGTGCAGAGAGGGGAAGAGGCTGGGAGGGAGGCAGGCAGGACCGAGCCGAGCAGCGCCGTGGCATTGTGCCTTTGCTGCTGGGCCTCTGCCGCGGGACGCTCGGGCGCGGCAGCCACTTCTGTCCGGACACAAAGGAGGAAGAGGCCTCCTCTCTTGCCCCTCCCAGAAGACCCGCTTGGGTGGGTACACTGGACCTCCGGATATGGAACCCCATCTTGGCTCAGCAGCTGCCCAGGCAGCTGGGGGGGCTGAGCCAAGCTTTAGTCAAGGAGCAAAGAAGACTTGAGAAAAGACAACAACGTTCCACACACACGCACACACCCCCCACTCCTTTGCATCTGCCCAACCTCAGTATTCCAAGGGGGGGAAGCCCCTAAAGGCCGTCTCCGAGGGTCTCCTGGGCTTGGGGAAGCCCCCAGACACAGAGGCTGCGAATACATGTCCTTTTCTCTCCCCTCTTCAGCCACCACCTTCCTCTCAAGTCCTGAGCCCCTGCCCACCCCGAGAAACAGCAGCCTGGGTCAGCAGCCTGGATCCCCCGCCAGCATCCCTGTGCAGTCAAGCCCCCAGTGAGGCTGACGGGGGAGACTGTCGTCTTTTGAGAGCCAGCGTGAACTCAGACCCTCCCCACTCGGCACAGACACAGCCTGGATCAGGAAGCAGGCCTCGCCCACAGCCCCCTCCCCACCGACTCCCCGTTTCTCCTAGGCCTTGGAGAAAGAGGGAGCCCTCGGAGGGCGCTGGCAGAGGTTAGGAATCTCTGAGTTCACCAGGCCGAGTCCCTCGGGTTCCACAACTGCCGGTGGCTTGAACCCCCCTTTCTCCGTTTGGAGATGGGGAGGCAGGCCTGGGGCTGAAGCGGACCTTCAGGCTCTCGCCAGTTCCAAGCCTGTAGGGATGGGGTCACAAAGGGTATGGGGGGGCACCGAGAAGGAGGGGCTTGTCTTCCCAGGTTCAGCTATGCCTGCTCCATCCCCTGTCAGACTCCCAGACTCTCTCCCCCTTCCGTTTTCCTCAGCACTGTGGGGTGAGCCCCAGGGACTGAGGCCACTGGGAGTCCTGAGGGGGAGGAGGGAAACCCCAGCTTTAGCCAGCGGGTCTGCATTCACTCTGGTTCTGAGAGCTCCCCTTCGTTCCTAAAAGATTTCACTGGACACAGAAGAGCCCCCCCTAAGGGGGAGGGGCGCTCTCACGCCGTCACCTCCAACCTGGGCAGCAGCAGCGACCACAACCCGCTAGCACCACCGTGGGAAGGACTGACAGACAGACAGGTTAGCCTCAATCCCTGCCCCTGCCCTGCGCCTCCCATGTAGTGATTTCAGTTCCCTCCGGTTCAATCCACACCGTCAAGTTCGGATTAAATTTAAAACAGACTTTCCCGGTGCCCGGCGGCCGTCCGAGGCGCGCGCCC